ACCCTGTCTGAAAGGAAGTAACGCTAGAGTAGACTCGCGAAAAGTGTATAAGACACTTTTAAGATCAACTAAATAGCTAAGCCCAAGGGAAGTCGTTCGGGGAGGCCCTCCCTAATTCCACAAGGGTGAGAAGAAACACACACGATAACGAAACGTTGAATCATGTAGAACTCGTAGGGTAAATGCAAAGCAATTTATAGTAAGAATATGCAGTAAGCTAAGCGAAGAGGTAAGCAAGAGACATGTTAGACTGCACTACAACTACTGAAAAAAAATTAAAAACTTGTTAGTATTACTATACCTACTCAAAAAATAAAAACATCTAAGATCAAAAATTAATTCAAATAAAATGAACTAAAATAAGCATGCAAAATAATAAATGAATTCAAATTAAAAAAACATGCAAAATAAAATCTTGATTGAAATAAAAAAAAAAAGTTCTAACTACGGGGGGTCTTCTCTGTCTTCTCCACCGTTGATCTGAAACAGATGGGGTGGTAATAGATTAATAAAGAGCAATTAATAATAATTATGTAATATATTCTCACCTTAAGAAACTACAGACTGCGATGTTCCAAAGATTACAGGTGTGAATAAAATCCTGGAAAAGCAATGCTACTGCAGATAATTTGTTGTTTCAGTAGTATCCCGTTCAACCTTCATTGGTGAAAAAAAGGTGAAGAGTCAACATCAAAACTAGAATGAAGTCCAGGAAAAGCTATAGCATTGTAGGCATTGGTTGCTCAGTACCATGAAATTTACCATCCATTCTTTCTCATTGGTAGACCAATCTATAGAAACGGGCAAGAAAAACTAATTAACTACGGTATTGAATGAGATATAAAATTAAATAAACACTTAAAGGCAAGAAATACAGTAAAGTTTTAGTGTGGGGACTTGGTGTCTTTAATTCTTCTGTGAGTTTATATAAAATTCAAAATATATTCATACTTTCTGTTACAGCTTATACAAAAATAAAATAAATAAATGCTGGAACAAAGGTAGTTTTATTTTAATTCTGATGTTTTTTAACATTTCTGAATGCTAGAATAAATGCAGCTTTACTTTAGTTCTGCAGTTCTGCTTTGACAATTTCTGAAATGAAACTTAAAACATGATGTTTGAAAGTAGATCATAAATGCTCTATTGTTTACTCAATACTTACTGATTAAATAAAAATATATCCTTCCTTTAGCAGCAATACACCGACTCTGTTTCCAGTACAAAAAGGCACTTCTCTTTCTTCAGGTCAGGTATCACACTATCCTGGGGTACAGATACAAATGCTCCATAAGAAATGGCACCCAGAGTCGTTCCTATAAATTAAAACTTTAATCGTTTCAGCATACAGATATATCTATAAACTTATTGTATTAATATTTATTTATTATCACCTTCATTGATTGCAAAATTAAATAAATATATAATTAACGAAATACAATAAAAACAAGCAACCTAAATAATGTAAAATTTTAAAATGGCCATGTGACGTCATTCGTATGGCACATGCATCTGTAAAAATTTTGTTAAACATTAACCAGCAAACAATAACTGTTTGTTTTCAAATACATGATTTAAAATTATGAGATAATGCACTGCAAAAACTAACCTCTGTATTATTTTAATTACTTTAACTCGATAAATGATTCTAAATAACGTGCAGACAGGACGTCTTACACCTACCAAGCACCGCGACTGTCTGGTAACGAACAGCACGTTTGAGCTTGCATGGATTTTGCGATTGCTTCTGCACGAAGCACCGATGACGTCACAAATACTACGCAGAAGCATCGAATTTGATTTCTGCGACGGTTCGCGGCAAATATTTCGAAATTTAACCAATCACATAGCTAGTTTTAGTTCTCTTTTTTATGAAATTGAAATATTGTGTGTTTTGCTTCGTTAAAGTTCCATCGCCTGACCACAACTCTAGAGATACTTGAATACCTACAAGAGCGAGAGAGACAGAGATATTGTAAAAACTTAAAAGAGATAGCATTAGAGATAAAGAATACATAAATAATGATAAGTTTTCCTGTCCTAGTTTGAATTGTCCTCTAAAATATAAATTATTTAAGGATGACACATGCTTTTGAAATGACGAAAAAATATTAAATTAAATAATACCCTTGAGCAGTTAATAAATAAATAACACATGAATAAATAAGTAATTTAGTTTTTAATTAAAATCTAATAATTTTAAATTACTTTTGTTGCCACTTACATTTATATTGATGCCAGTCAAGATGCTGTTTGTTCTCAGTAGAAAAAAGGAACTTTCACACTTTCTTCATGTGCTACTGCATTCTGGGGTGAAAGAGGACTGCTACAACAATATTCATATACAGATAAATAATTTAGTGTAATTAGTACACTTATGGATCGTTAAATACATAAACTTCCAGCAAGTTAGGTATAATGCATATATTTACTCAATTTATACACTTTATAAACTGGGATCGTATTTAACAAAATAAAATTACAAAATTGCTATTCGTAAATCGAAAAAATCACATGTACTAGTTCATTGCAGCAATTGAATACAAGAGAATTAAAAATATTTTATAAATTAGACTGACAAAGAATTAGAGAAGCAGCAAGAACGTATGGCACAGTCATTTTCTTCGGAAAAACGATGAAGTGACGACGAAGATTTTTCACTGAAGTACGGTTGTAAATCATTTTGTTGTATCGCATTAAAATGATGATGAATTATTGGGAGAATCAAAAATGTGAAAAATTTTCAACAAGAGTCTTTTCCCCTGTCTACCTTATATCCACCAAGGTCACTGGATTCGAGGCCAGTATTGGGTTGTCATATCCGTTTGGCCTGGTACCGCTATTGGTACCGATACTCCAGGTGATATGAGCCCTAAAATGGAAAAACAATTCTTGGAGATGCAATTACTCAAAGGTTCAAACTTAATAGAAAATCCAGCATCTTGTACAAATTTATAAGTAATGGAGGACTACATAATTTTACGTACCTGTTGACGAACCTCCATTAGAACTATACTGGTGTCCGTTCATCTGGTAAGGTTGTGCTGGACTGCATGGGGATGGTCTTGATCCGTAACCAATTCCCAGATCATAACTGGGCGGTCGACCCATGCAATAGCCTCCCATCGAATTCGTCATTCCTGGACTGTCTCTTTGCTGAAGACACGAACCAGGAGATGGACCCATTGTAGTGGGAAGACCGCCGTGACCAAACGAAGACATTGTTGCCATTGAATTACTGAGAAATAAGGAAATAACACTGCTTATAACACCTTGTAGTACACATTGATATCAAAAAGTTAACAGTTACGTTTAGCTATAAAGTTTAGATAAGTTAAAAACGGAGAAAAATAATGAGGAAGTTCCTAATTGTAGTAAAGACGTAAGAAGCGGACTATAATATAAGTATTGACTTACCTGTAGCTATCTGCCATTGTCATTGGCGGAGCAATGGGAGAATACATTGAAGAAGGATTGTTAAATCCTTGCAACCTAGGCGGTGAAGATGGTGGTGCTGGTTGGTCAGTGGCTGAAGGGGCCCGACGCTGGTTCCTTAATTTTTCTTCTCTCCTCCATTTAGCCCTTCTGTTAGAAAACCACACTTGGATCCGAGCTTCTGGGAGACCTATCTTCGCAGCCAAACGCTCCCTTGCAAAAACATCAGGGTAATGCGTCCTTTCAAACTCTGAAATTAATTTAAATTATTACTGAAGTCCTCAAGGCTAACTCGGTCAGCGTGGATTAATTCATTTAGAAATTGTTGTGTTGTGATTTAATGATAGCAGCCGCCCGTGTTAATCTTATGATAACTGATGGGATTCATAGGAATCGTCTGAATTTTTGATATGTTACAGCTTTCGTTATCCAGATAAAAAATCGTTACCTAGTTATCAAGCGCGGATTTTTTTGTTGGTTAGCATTATTAAAAAAGTGCTCGAGAGATTTCTAGGAAATGAAAACTATTTGTTGTAAGCTTTAAAAGATGAAATGTATGTTTCAAAAAAATACGCCACGGTGTTCGTCATCATAATGTCGTCAGTCCTAAGACTGGTTGGACACACACCTCTTCTCTTTCCTATCTTCGCATTTCCCTAAAACTAGAACATCCCACATCCTTAACTAGTTGCGTACAGTAATCTAATCTACGTCTATCTCTACTCCTCGTAACTCCTGTTTCTGCCTCTAACACATCTCTGACTAGACTTTAATGCCTGAGAAGGTATCCTACCAACCTGTATCTACTACGGCTTAATTACTGTTTAAATTAAAGAAAATAAAAAGCGCTTGTGAGATCTCTAATTATTAACCATTTATTTAGTTTTAAAAGATGACATTTATGTAAAAACGTACGTAGAATTTTATTGTGTTAACAGTTTTCTAGTGCGAAAAATACGTCACGTCGTAACGAAAATAGTCACAAACCGAAAAGGCGCTCTTGAGATTTTTAGGAAATGAAAGTATCATTTGTTAAGTATTAAAAGATGACATTGATATAAAAAAGAACGTAGAATTTTACGGTAGGTGTCAACAGTTTTCCAGTGAGGTTTAAAAAAATGCGTTATGGCATTACCATTGGTTAAATTAACGAAACTGATCTCAACATGAAGAGACTCTCGTTAGATTNCGTATTGTTTTGTGTATTTCTAAATTTAGAAGAGTAAACCTCTAATAATACCTATGCATCTATTGTCTTTTCCTGTTAACTAAATTTTGTCATTAAATATCGATATTCACTTCATAGATTAAGGTTCCTATAACTTTCCTGTAGAGGTGCGACACGATGCAGTTTTCCAGTGAGGTTTAAAAAAATGCGTTATGGCATTACCATTGGTTAAATTAACGAAACTGATCTCAACACGAAGAGACTCTCGTTAGATTTTTATGGTGCCGGCAGTTTTTGTTTTCAAGAAAGCACGCCACTGGTTTACACCAAAATGAAGAACATTGTTTAAAAATAAAATATCGGAAATGTTGACTTCAATAGCGGTGTGACACTGTGGTGTTTTTTATTTTTTATTTTTCCTCTCGTCTATTGCTTTATGACACAGTTCCGTCATGATTACGAAAAGTAAACCGTCAATAGAGAGAACATTACAAAGAAAATAAATTGATTCCGTTGCTTTCAAAGATTCATTAAAATTTCCCAAGTCGAATCGAACCGGATAAAGGATTCTGAAATGTATTGTGAACGGAAATTAAGAAAAAGATTTAACAGTTCTCGATGGCGCGCGTTAATGAAACTGGACGAGAAGGGGAATTGCTAAGGAACGGAAAATGGTAGAGACGAACAGTATTTTTAATTTTAATTCCAATGGGATTTTCTAAGGCAAAACTGATTACTGAAAAAACTGCTTCGAATATTTCAAATTATACATACAATTTTTTAGACATCTTTTAGAAGTGAGTTAGTTTAATATGAAATATTATTCTGAAAATTCATTTCTTGAATTCTTTTTTTGCCCACTACACATTTTCCTCATTAATTTGAGGAAGTGTGTAATGGGCAAAAAAAAAAGAATTCAAGAAATGAATTTTCAGAATAATATTTCATTTCAAATTAATTTCAATGGTGCATACTTGAATGTTTCGGTTTGTTTATTCGACTATTAATTTAATTAATGAGTAGATAAATAATTAATCTTTCCAATCATTAGGACAGCATACATTGTTGTTTACAGTAGATGTGTCCATCTAAACTTTAGAGAATAATTGTAACTGATGAATGCAGAATCAAAATTTATATTTTTAAGAGATTCGTGATTTTCTTCTAGTAAGTAACTGTTGTAAGCACTCAGTGGAAGAAAAATTTTTATTCGTAACTTGACCGAATTTTAATGAATATCATCATCAACATAAGGTCGTCAGTTCTAAGACGGTTGGACACGCACCTCCACTCTTTTCTATCCTGAGCTAGGGTTGCCATCTCTAAAATTTGGAAACCAGGACAAGACGGGTGAAAAACCCGGACATGTCAACAGGTTTTTTTAAACGTAGTCAGTGTAATAAAAAACAGTTGAGAATGTCATAAATCACCTTTTTATTTATTTTCAGACTAAAATTAAAATTAGTCATTTTTTATCATCATTTTAAATGTACCTAACAAAACAGAATCTTATTACAGTTTGTTACAAATTGTTTTATTTTTGACTCTTAAAATAAAACACAAATTATTAATATACTTTGTTATGAAAACAAAACCTTATAAAAATATGAAACCTAAACAAAATAAATTAAATTTTTAAACGAGAATTTTAAAAGTACTGAGACTTTAAATTTTTAAACCCGGACTACAAATGAAGCTCCCCGCAGGACGCTCCCCGGATGCCCTCTAAACTAGGACAAATCCGGGGAAACCCGGACGGATGGCAACCCTA